CCCCCCTTTTTGGTTTTTTTTTGCGTGTAACTTTTACAGGAATATTTTATTGTAACTAAAAAAGTTTTTTTTCCTCTGCCCCCCCCCCCTACTTTCAAAAACGCTGCTACGTGCCTGGATTTGTATGAAATAAACCCTTTTATTTTGTTATGCTCCTGAGGATGATGCTTTAAAACTTTTTTAATAGTCCGTTAAAAAGCCCTTCAAGGATTTAATGTATCAATGTTTTAACTATATAACATATCATGCCGATTAATGAATAAAAAAAAATCAGAAATTACAAATGATATAGCATCATTAGTATTTTCACGATCAAAACATTATTAAGTATTTAATATGAGGAATGGTAAATTATTCCGGTTTTTAAGATACGCTGAACATTTTTTTTCTCCCAATGGAATTTGGATTGCTTGTATTAACGGTTTAAACGAGGAATGAAAATACTGACAAAGTTGTTAATTTCAAATCAGAATGTACTTTTTTCCTTTTCTAATGACTAAGACAAAAAATACCTGTTTACCATTCCTTCCTACATTTATTTTTTTTCAGTAGAAGAAAGGCAAAAGATGTTTCTTGTAACAAGAGGCCAAAATGGCGTGAAATTCGGAATGATGACGTTTCACTTGTGACGTAAATGAGCTAACGGTAGGCCCAAAATAGGCCCGCGGCACTTAACGTAGTTTGAAAATAGGCCCAAAATAGGCCCGCGGCACAAAGAATGTTAAATATATATCTCGATTTGAAACTTGATTTCGCTATGGTGGCCTCGCCCTACCCCTGGGGGTCATTATACATATATCACATGGCTTCGAGGGTGACATACCAGAATATTTGCCCCTAGGTGACAGGAAAGCTCTGGAGTGTTATGTCACCCGATGCCGAAGGCAGAGGGAGACATAACACTCCAGGGCTTTCCTGTCACCGAGGAGCAAATACGCCCGAGAAGCCATGTGGTATATGTTATATGACATTTTTAAAATTAAAAAAAAATAAATCATTTAAAATCGTTGAAATTTTCACAAATGATCCAGAAATGCTTTCTTGACGTTAAGAATAACGCTCCGTTGTTTACATTTGCTTAGCAACCAACGCCATAACATCTCGAACCCGAGCAAAAATGCGTAACGTGAAAACACGCGAACGTGATCGAAAGGATGACATAACTGTTTCCGTCGGGGGTGACATAACTGTTTCCGGCGTGACATAACTGTTTCCGGTGTGACTCAGCATTTTTCAGGGTTTATAGCGAAACTTACTACATTTGTGATATAATAAGAAAACTTATTCAAAAATTTTATATAAACAATTCAGAATGTACACTACACGAGAATGCTACCCAATGATTCAGCTTTTTGGTTCTTTAAAAAATTGATTAATTGATTGTTATATAGTTGGTACGTCCCATTCGAGAATATTTTACTCAGTATAAATATGTCACCATATGCCACGGATCTGACAAATAATTTTGGCCACTAATTAGCAAAACGAGAATATTGTCATTCTTTCTAATATTGAAGGGTTCACCTACAATGTATCTTCTATCTGCAATTTCGTCATCTCTCCTATATCACACTACACCATATTATAAAATTTGATAATTCTTTTACAGGTCCTTTATTCAAAATTCCATTATGCATCACTTTCAGTCTCTGAAACATTCTACTTTTCCACCTGAACGGTGAACGAACGCTGAACAAACGATGCACGAACGCAGAGCGAACGGTGAGTGAACAATGTGCGAACGCTGAATGCAACTTGGGGAACGATGGGTGAATGGTGAGTGAACGCTGAACTCGAACGGAGTGCAGCAAGCGCAAAGTGAACGGTGACCGCAAGATGAACGACTTATTTGGAATGCCTCCAATCTTTTCCTTGCATTTAAATTGTTCAATTATTATATAAAAATTCTAATATCAGGTGCTAGAATATAAAAACATTTTTTTTCTGCACATACGTATGTTTTATATCGATTTTAAAAACATGAATATTTAATTGCGTAAAACATTTATATTTGTTACCGACCGCATGTACATGTAGTAAAAATATATAATTAATCTACTTATATAGTAAAAACGAAGGTTGATACAAAAGTTCGTAAAATTTTTTTCTAAAATTTTATTGAGATTTAAGTTCAGAAAGATTTATAGATTGTATGATGATTTTGTTGTCTAATGAAATGGTACTGAATTCGATAATTTGCTTTTCCAATAGCTGCCGTGGCAGTACTACATAGACCCAGTCATTGCCCCCAGGTTCTTCATTAGGTCTGCCTGTTGGGAAGAGAGTTGTACATTATTATGTGTGGGATATGAACCTCTACACCCCGGTGTCTCAAGTCAGTAGGGTACATGTATCCTCAGTAGGTGCTCCATAGGTGGATAAGTTAAACAAGAATTGGTACTGAATACACTTATTTTCTTTTCGTCAGCTGATGTGCGGCAGCACTACATGGACCCCGCCATTGCCCCTTGGTTCTGAGGTCTTTCTGTGGGGGAGACAGTTATGTTTTGGCTGTGGACATCTAAACTCTGCTGTCTTAAGTCAGTAGGACATTATCAGTGGGGAGGGGCTTCACAGGTCGACAGACTGAAAAAATTATTAGAGGGGAAGGGCAATAAGAGTTCTTTGCTTATATGAATTTGTTATTGATGTTACACAGTACTCTACATATATTTGTGGCAATTTTGGAAGAAAACCAAAGTAATTTTGATCATGAATTTGTTTGTAGAAGGGGGCAATGAGAGTTTTGATGTAGATTATGAGACCCTTGAGAATCTGATGATAGACATACATGAACATGTAATACAGACAGATAAAACCCTACAGCAATTCAGTAATCTTGATCAGGATAAGGATTTTCAAGGTATAATAAGGTATGCGTGCCCTTATCAAAACAAAAAGCAATGTCTGATGAAAAAAGTCAGGTAATCCAGTGTTTTATAGTGAAACTGACAGAGGTCTTCTTAAATGTGTAAATTATGATTTAATTAGTGTTAAATACACACTACAAAGAAAGATCTACTAAGAAACATAATATCTTGGGATTTGAAGAACTTCTAATGGACAATAAAAATGTAATGATATGAAATGCTGTTTACATTTATAAATAGTAAGCTGTTTGTAACACTCTGTGTGAGATACTTTAGGATCTGAGTGTACCAACAACTGTGGACCAACCTGTCCACTACAGGACTGGTGGTTAAACTGGTCTCCATCTCTACAGAGCATGACTTCAAATACCAGAGACAAGGATTTAAATTCATGACTATTCACTTAGTAAAACTTGATAACTATGACACATTTTATTAAGCTACAGGTAAATACATGACGTTTAATAATTGACAGCTGTAAGCTGCAAAGCAACATTGAATATAATTACACTCATTGACAAATATATTTCTAAGCAAACCAGATCAAACTAACCAATTTTATAAAAGGTCAAGAGAACAAAAAAAATTACATGTGTATTGAACAATATAAATTATATATAATGAAAACTTTGGGAAAACACTATAATGCATGACAATGTGTATGTTACAAACTCTATAATTTCATATTAAAAGGAGTATTGATAACGATCAAATGCTGGAGATAAAGGCGAACTCACTAGTGTGTCAAACATAGCTCTCTGGCTTGTTATTTGTTTCAAATGTATATACAAGGAATCAACAACAAGGTTAATAAATGTCATTTTTTTTCTGTTTTCTGTAAATACTTGTACACAGAGACAGTAGGACTTTCCCATCCCCCGACCCAGAGATTGTGATGATCGTCAATACATAAAGCACAGGGACGTAGAGGACATTGTTCTGATGAGAGAAGGAGAGACAAGAAATGATTTGGTGTGAGAAGGAAAGACAAGAAATGACCATCTATGTCCAGAAGGTGGACACTGGAGCAGTTCTCATTACATGATTGATACATGTAGCCATTACACACCAAAATGTGTCCTAAAACATCTGTGCAAATTCCATAGGGACGGAATCCGGATTGAGAGTGGTGACCAGAGTAAGAGAAGCGGTACTCTCCTGATGCGGTGACCACCACTACTTTTCTGGCACACACGTCAGATACACAAATGTCACTATTATTGTTCTCCACGATAAAGTTAACGCTTTGGTAGAGATTTTGTCCTTTATCATCCCATTGTATGTCCTGTAACTTTCTTCCTTCTCTGTCGTATCTGGTTATTTTCTGGTCTGACTTTTTCCCCATCCCGACCAGTATGTGTCCATTGATAGGAGAAGAGTAGATGGCTCCAGGTTCCCAGCTCCCTGTCTCAATTAGTTTGTTGATGGACTTGTCACTAGTTACTCTGTATACAGTGTTTTTACGGTAATCTGTGTAAAGAAGTTCTCCCTCCGATGTGACTGTGTGGTTACCTTGGAGATATGATATACTGTTGGGTATTTTCTGTCTGATGTTTCCTTCCATATCATACTGAATGAGATTCCCCGACCATCCACTACCCCAAAATCTGTTGGCCCAGGAGGGCGAAGGAGACAAATGATAAGCATATACCTGGGTAGTTACTTCGCTTACTTTTGTGATAGGAGAAAGCTCAAACCTTTCAGATGATTGTAGTTCTATTTCACCAAACTGATTGGCTATTTCTTGTTTATTTAGTTTACCTAATGTTAAAATTAGCAGTTTGGGTGTGGCTTTGTTAAGCATCTTCAGGGTAGCCGATGAATTGTCTAAAAGGAACTTCCTGAGTTCAGTGTATTTTATAGAGGACATTTTACTCTCATAGTCTGAAATTATTTTTTCCAGGTACTTTATGTAACTCTCTGTTTCCTTTTGTTGTTCCTCTATATCATTTAGGACTGAATTTTCTATCTCATCCAGTTTTTTATTATCATCAGTCAGTATACTGTCAACGGCCTTCTTCAGTTCATATGCTCTCTTCTTCATAGAAACTCTAAACTCGGCGAATTCTTTTATAACATTTTCTCTCTTTTTTCCAATTGATTCAACATTATTTTTAGCTTCAGGAATAACTGTTTTCCAAATCTCAGTTATTTCCTTTTGACATTTATGTAGAGTGTCATTGTAGATGGCTTCAAGGTCACTATAAACATGATCACTGTGATCTTTCGCAAAGCACATAGAACAGACAGGATCCTGGCAATCCTCACAGTAAACATCTATATCTTTTGTGGGGTGGATCCTACATATTTCAGAAGGAAGTTTTCTTTTTCTCTCGTGATAGGGGATAATGGTATGGCTTTTGTTCTTTTTTCGATGAACATGTTCACATTGGACGCACATTCGCTGATGACAGGTATTGCAGTAAAACTCAGAAAAGTTCCTACAGAATTCTGTGTCACACTCGATAAAGTGCTGGGCTGTATCTGGTACTTGGTCCAATGTTGTTGACCAAAGATCTAGAAATTATTTATTATTATCGTAGTGAAACTAAATAAGGCACTTTTTAATGAGTACAACTTAAAACACATACATACTGATGTTGAAAAGAGATTCATAAAACATTAATTTTTCTTTGAAATTTCTATCAAAATACTTACTGTTATGATAAGTGTCAGCCATTTGTAATGTATGACATGTATCCCGATGAGGTAGAATGTCATTTTCTGCTTTAAATGTATAACCCTCCATTCAATCTTTAAACAGATGAGGAGATGGGACTGGTAGATATCACTATCAAGCATTTGTTTAATTAAGATAAAGGTAACATGAGAAGGGGAGCATACATTTAATGTACTTTTACACACTTTTGGTTGGTCATTTAGAAATCTTTATCATGACGCAGTTACAAATGGAAATATTGGTGAATTTTTAAGATACAAAATTAATAAATACTCTATTTGACTGGGCGATTCTTTTAATAATTTTACTGATATAAAAAATGTAATGACTTGTTTAAATCTACATATTGAGGATATTTAGATTTTTTTTTTATTAAAACTTATCTCATGTGATGTCGGAATCACATGATTTTAGCAAATATACTTGCAGTTTAGAGGTCATTGGTTCGGTTTGTTATCCAGTCGGGCGTGTTATTCAGACGGATTTAGCATATAGGTAAAAACATGTAACTGGGCATATCTATCAAAAGAGGAAATTTAGGAGGATTGATATTTTTTTTTATTATAATCTTCAACAGTCAAATAATTTTTATCAATTTCTTTTGGGCAGGTTATTAAGTGACTGAATTTAGTAAAATAAGAAAATTATACAGTACGTATCGTAACATGAAGGAAGCATATAATCGATTCACCCCTACTTGTCAAAATTTATCAAGTAAAACTTGTAAAATGCTAATTGACATTTTTGCATATATATTGTTAGACTATTAAATACAAACAAATGGGATATAATGGGCTAAAAATTTATGGTGCAAATATTGAAAAATTATTATTTTGGCAATAAGTATCATAAATCCGCATCAGTACACAGAAGTCATCACAAGACAGACATCATTCTGTTGATGTACCCTTGAGGGACTTAAAATCAAGGCTACACAAACTAAAGATACTGTCACGACACATCTGGTCTGTACTGTGTAAAAGGAATATCAAAATTAGATCATTTATTTAATTAGATGTTTTGTGTATTGGATTTGTGGTCCAACAAAATGGATGTTGCCTTCCAACTCAATCAATGGCTGTATCATATCCAATTTTATATGAAAAAAACATAAAGATAACATACATTTTTTGAATACTTTATTTTCCAGTATTTTGAGGCTTAACAACTTGATTTAGATTAATAAACATCAACCAAAGAACCTTTAACATTCCTCAAACAAAGGTCAATTTGTATCATGTATCTCATGGCATACTTTGTTCAATCAAAAATCACACTTGCACAATAAAATGACTTTGCTTAATCCTCTTTTTTCACATACACCATTTTAATTTTTTTTAATCATCTGTTACTTTGTCAGACCATATTATATAAAATTTTACAAGCATCTTACTGGTCTCCTAAAATGTTCTATCAAAATGCTGGGTCAACAAAAAGTGGTTCATATTTCATAACTAAAATGAATTCATAAAAACACTTCTCGTCTAAAAGTAATAAACTAATGTTGTTTTTTATCAGCTCTCTTATCACTTGGAACTATACATTAACATTGTCATCTGGTTTTGAAATGTGAAAAAGAATATTTATCTAGTGCATAATGTTTCACTGTATAATGTTTCACTAGAAACAAAATATTTAAGGTTATCGGATCCTCAGGTTCCGAAAATCAGGCATTGAGTAATTGAAAATGCTAACAAAGATGTCTCTAAATTTTCAAAGTAAAATGTATTTACACACTGTGTTTCTTTAAACTTCATCTTTAAATTTAATCATATTATATAGGGAAAATTAGTAAATCTCAAATAATTTTTCAGGAAATATGATTTGAACTACCTACTGCATATTTTTTAATTGATAATTGATCAAGAAATACATTTTAGGAATAAAAATCATAGGTATCCATATTTTTAAAGAAAATTGCATGAAATTTACACTTATCTAGTACTTTACTTTTCCTACTTACTTCCATCGTTTCATAATGCATAGTGTATGAAGTGTTTCCTTTCAAAGAAAACACTGTAAATCACTTCTAATTTCAAATCATTCTTATAAACATTGGTAATTAAGGCTAAATTAAAAGAAATTTGATTTCTTTAAAATGTGCAAGTTTTACTAAATTTCATGAGGTACAAATGTCATTTTTTTTAAATACCGTTTGTTAAAACTTTAAGGAACATTGAATCATACGTAGAGGCATAAAATGAAAATTGTTGCATGAAAATATTTCAATTTCAAGCTTTATTTTAAGACTTTTGGAATTAAATTATAAATTAAAGAGTTATTTTTCCTGGCTGAGGATTGTATATCCTTAAAAAGACTAAACCAAACCACATCCATCTACACAGGAATAATCATCCACAGCTTTTACAAGTTCAACCATCGTCATACGGCATCAGATAACATCTACACAAAATAAATCACCTCTTACAGCTTTAAACAAGGTCTTTAAAAGGTATTACACAGAATCTACGGATAATAGGTTAAACATCCACTGCTGTCGCAAGTTCAAACCAATGTCTTATGGCGTCACACACATGAGCAAGGCAGTTAACATCTCACAGGATTATTAAAATTTGTTAAGATTGGAGGTACAAGCTAAGTTATAAAAATTATTTTCACAGCACATGCTCAACTGAAATTTGATATACAGTTTAATTAAGGAATGAAGCTTATTTCAACTTATGTTATCCGATATAACATAACTTGGGGCAGTTTACGCTTTATAAACCGCGAAGCGGTTTATAAGAAAGCGTAAACTGCCCTAAGTTTTGTCATATCGGATAACATAAGTTGAAATTAGCTTCATGCCTTATAATATAATTTCAGTGTAGACAATGAGACAATATTTCCTCCGGAAAGAGGCTTCAAATTGAGCAGCATTTTATAGTAACGTCAAGCGGAGTAATACGTTTTTGACGTAACTCATTGTGACGTAGGCAAGTTATGTTATACAAAATGTTATAATTATGTTCCTCTGAATTATTCAGCCAATGAAATTGCTTGATACAAGTGAAATCAAATTATTCATCGGAAAAACAAAGTTTTGTTTTGGATACAGTCGGTGAACTTTGGGCAGTTTATGCTCCTTTGACCTACAAAAAAATCAATTATTAGGGTGTGGGGGTTAGTATTTGAAAACACGTCTTTTTATCAAACATTTACTCTGGCATATATGACCACTTCTGCTTCATTATTCATTGAATCAGAATAACATGTTGGCAGGGAGAAAGTTTCAAACATCTTTTTTTGAAAATGGTTCTTTAAACCAAAACAAAAGTTAATATGTGTGTTGCCGTTGTTCTTAAAACAAAGTCTGTAATTTACCCCTGTGTTCTGTCTCATTGTGATTAGACATGTATACGTATGGGTGACGGCCCCATCATTCATTGTAATATTTAATGACTTTCACGTATAACCATATCTTTATGACAACATATTACTTCTGTGTTGGACAAACATTCTCATGACTGTGATTTCGAAATGATTGAATCTGATTTGCAGAGAGGTATTCACCTTATGTTAATCCAAATCAGGGACAATTTCTCACCTAAACTTCTCTATAATGGGCACCAAAAATGGGTACCCACCTTGGCAACAATGACTTACAACAACCGATGTAAATTTGCGAAAATTCACCAAATTAATACTGATTATATTTTATTGACACATAGCTTAATCGATAAAAATCATTTTGGGGGTAGTTTACACTGTTTTAAATAAAAAATTAACATTAAAAAAAAAAAAAGTTTTATACTCAAAGGTCACCCTATATTTTGAAAAATGAGTGAAAACGACAGCGTGTAGGAATATCAAAACGATATTATTTCAAAAAATAAAAAAATGTACTTATCCACGTTTGTATGAAATTATAACAGATAATGAAACTTGATTCCATTTTGCTATAAGCCCTCAAAACACATTAACAGTGAGATATACTTAACAAAAACAGCAAAGCTTTAAGAAGAGTAAAGAATTGCATAAGAAGAGTATAAAACTGTTTTGTATGCTATTTCTTAAATATTAGTGACTTGTTGTTAAAGTCATATTCGGGAAGGAAGTTCAATTTCTAGAGGAGTCTAGAAAAAAAATCAAAGGTTCATGAGAGACAGGAAACAGAATAAGGAATTCACTTATGTAAATTTCTTCATGACAGCGTCCAAACTCACAGGCCATGAAGGGTAAAGAAGTTCTGGGGGGGAAACAGAAAGTTAATGTTGGTAACACAAACAAAATTTGCCAGATCTTTCAACCTTTGACTTGTTTCATTTCCCAAACTTAGAAAGACACCTACCAGAAAGAAAAAAAAACAAGTACAGCAAATCATAGGATCTGTCATATTCCAGTATACGAAGATTCATCCTCAAAAATGTGTTTGAAAACAATTAGAAATTGAATGAAAATGTTACGGACACGTGTTATAATCAAACAAGAATTTTCTAGTTGTATTAATATTATTAAGACTAAGTCTTAGAAAAGCGTTTTTTTTTTCGAGCCCTAAAGACAATATTTATTGAATGCCCCTCGTATAGTGCTCAAATCACTTATTCACTTCCCAATTTTCAAAACATTCAAGTATTTTCATTAAAAATAAAAATATTATTGTTTGTTAGGTGATGAACAAGGTCTGTTGGGTTGTTAGGATGAGGGAATCCTTCATTACCTACACACAGAATCATGACTTTAATAAGGTCATTATGTTCTACTCCTGGGTCAAGGACAAACTTCTGCCTGTAATGGGTGACAGGTAAAGAACTAAGTCAAGTGATGGGATACTTGGTTCAATTCAATGAAAACAAATTGAAACTGAAAAGAAGCCCTTATTTATATTTTTGTAAAATTTTTTGAAATCAATTTTTTAGTAACAAAAATAAAGAATTATTTAAAAAACAATTCTGTGCTTTGATAATTGTTGATTTAGGCATTTCCACTGAAAACTTATGATTATACTAGCTAGTATTCTTCAACCATGAGATGAAAAACCACAGAGATTATGTAATAATCATTAAACACAATTTTCTCCCTTTAGGTTTATGGAGTGTTTTCCACATCTGCACCAGGCAGGAGAAGTTCTGCTGTCAGGATATGATGAGACGGATTGTTACATCAGGTTTTTGAACTCCCATGGTCACCCACCTCCTTACAGAAACTAGGGTGAGGCTGAGGACTGTTTGACCCTGACTGACCTCTGTAAACTTAATAACATACATAGAGAGGCTGCTAACCTCATTATGAAGTACAAAGTCCAGTTAAACCTTGGCAGGAGGAGTGAACTCGTGTCATTAATAATGAATGCAGGGACTAAATTAAAAACTGGATATACACTTGCCAAAGGTATGAATATTGCTTTCCTTTTAGTTTAACACAAAATAAATTCTTTTTGTAAGATGGAAATTCTCTTGTAGTTGTTAGCTAAGTTTCTTAAGTGACATTGTTACTTGTTAGTCATATCCTCCCTTAATTTTAACCTCAAGATTTTTTTTCCCCATTTGCTTTGCCTATTACAATATTAGAATTTATACTTTTTTTCAGGCAATAATACACTACCTTTTGCAATATTAGAATTTATCAACTTTCAGGCAATAACACAATGGTCATTAGAAAGGTTAGAATACTCCATCAGCAGTATAACCTAACATGAGAGGAAATAAAGGCAGTGGAAAACGCAATGGAAACGGACCAATCAGAATACAACAATCGATTTTCACTGTGCAGCCAGTCAACAACTGGAAATCATGTTGACCTGTGGCCTCTTCATGATCACATGCTTGTTCTCTCTGAGCTGCGCAGGTATGTTAAGGTTACAACAAATATTTTACTTGCCTATATGATATGACGTCATAGTTAGCTATATGATGTGAAGTTTAGAGATAACAATTTCTTATAATCGATATCTAAGATTGGTTTGAGGTCGTAAAAATGAATCAAAATATGCAGAGGCATAATATAAAAGGAATTTTGTAGTTTCTGGGTCTCTATAGCTATCACAGGGGTTAAATACCAAATCCGTGACGTCATAACTGTTGATCATGCAGTAGCACTTAAAATGAATATTATGTGTGATTTATGTGGGAATAAAGCTTATGAATAAGGTGTGGTAAAATAATTCTACAATTTCTTTGTAAAATTAAAGCAGGAAGGGTGTTTACTTGCCGATCAGCCTTTCCTCTGAGAAAGATGCAAAAATTCAACACTACGCCGCATACCTAGAAACTTAATTTTTGTTTCTTTTTAAAGTTCTTAATTATTAAATTGTTTTTTGGAAAGTGCTGCTAGAATCGTATGGTTAACGGGAATTGATGCATTTTTTTAATGTAATGAACAAAATGTAAACATTCTGGGAAGGGGTTGTCCGAAAATGTTGAATAATTCTTTCTATGATAGGACAGTAGGTTTCTAGCAGCACTTTTCATGGTACAGAGATGCTTTTACTTAACTATCATTACAAATTGAAATTAATTTTCCCCTGGGTAGTGTTGAACTTTTCACTTTTTCATTAAGGCATATTTTCTAATTATAGACGTCAAGTGGTGACGTCGTGGTGAAGTGCTTCCTGTAGTATAAGTTCCACTGAAGTCTGTATAATGCATAATTATAGTAAAAGTTTTACCCTTAAATTTTCCGATTTATTAGTATTACATAATTATAAAAAGTATTTATTTGTCGAATTCTGATCCATGTGCTGCCTTAACATACCCGCGTGAAGCTGGTCAATGGCATGATGACATCATCAGAAAGTACTGGTTCACCAAAGATAGGGGCATTAGTTAAATATGGAAGCCAATTTACACCTGTGTCACCATAAGTTTTAACAAAACTGAAAACAAAGTCTGAAGACAAAAGTCAGGTAATCCAGTGTTTGATGATGAATCTGAGGTCATTTGAAAATGATGATGAATTGATGTTAAATACACCTGGAAAAGAAAAGACCATTTAAGTAGCGTAATACTGTATTTGTACTTTAAAATGCAGGCTTAATATTTGAGTGGCTTTGGCACAGTTAACAATGCACAAATTTATGAATACCACTAACAAATCATTTACATATACAATACATTGAACGTACATATGTATAGCACTAATTTTTGATGATGCCAACAATTCAATACCCAGTGATAACACTAAAATTTGTATAGTTGCGCCAAATTATGTACACATACAGTACCTTGAAAGAACTTGCTATTGGACAATAAAAATGCTATCTTTATGATATGCAACTTTCACAACGTTTATTTATAGGAAGCTGTCATTAACACTTTGTGTGAGATACTTTGTGGTCTGTACCAATAACTGTAGACCAACACGTCCGCTACGGGACTAAACTGGTGGTTAAACTGGTCCTCTTCTCCTCAGAGCACGACATCAAGTATTGATAGGACCAGAGAAAATTTGGTAAGATTGGATGTAATCAGATAATAAAATTAACTTGATATTTATGAACCAGTTTTGTTAAGCTTCTTTAAATACAATTGTCATGTACATGACATTGTTTAATATTTGACAGCTGTAAAGTAACATTGAATGTTCAAATGCTCTTTGACAATAAGTATTCTAAGCAAACCAGAACTTTCTGGCAAATTTTAAAAAAGTGAAGAGAACAAAAAAGAATTTTCATGTGTATTGAACAATTTACATTATAATGATTATTTCGGGAAAAAACATTATAATACATGTGTAAATTACATACTCTGTAATTTCATATTGCAAAGATTATTTATGACAATCAAATGCTGAAGATATAGGCCAATATTTGTGTGTCACAACAGAGTTATCTGGCTTGTTATTTGTGTAATATTGGTCTCAAATGTAAATATAAGGAATCAGCAACAAGGTTACTAAAAAAATCGGGGTTTGAACATGTATTCAACTCAATTTAAGTCATTTTCCAGTGAACCTATTAATCTTTTTGTTATTTATTTTTCCATTAAGTTAACACATACATGTATGTCTAACTAGGAGAAGTTGTTTGTTACACAAACTGATTAAGCGTACACATAATAGAGTAAATAAAATATTATTGTTTTGTGTCCTGCAAATACTTGTACACAGAGACAGTATAACTGTTAAATGCCCGGACCCAGAGATTGTGTTGATCATCAATACAGAGAGCAAGGGGATATGGGGGACATTGTTCTGGTTTAAGTAGAAGAGACAGGAACTGACCATTAATGTCCAGCAGGTGGACACTAGGGTTATTAGAATAGCTGTTACACACCAAAATGTGTCCCAGGACATCTGTGCAGATTCCAGATGTGTGGAATCTAGACTGAGAGTGGTGACCATAGTAAGAGAAGCGGTACTCTCCCCATGCAGTCACCACCATAAATTTTCTGGCTTTCCAGTCTGATGTACAGATGTCGTCATTGATATTCTCTGTGATGTAATCTATACCATGGTAGAGAGTTTTTCCTTCATCATCCCATTGTATTTTCTGTAACTTTCTTCCTTCTTTGTTGAATCTGGTTATTTTATGGTTTGAATTTTTCTGGTTTGAATTTCTCTTCATCCCGACCAGTATGTCTCCACTGACAGGAGAAGAGTAGATGGCCCCAGGTTTCCAGCTCCCTGTCTGGATAAATTTGTTGGTGGACATGTCACTGCTTACACTAAAGACAGTGTTTTTATTTTTATGTAAAGAAATTCTCCTTCTCTTGTGACTGTGTGGAAACCTTGGAAAAATGACGCATTGGTGGATCTTTTCTGTAGGATGTTACCTTCCATGTCATACTGAATGAGATTTCCAAAGTTATCACTCGTCTACTGTTTGTTTGGGGGTAAGAAAGACAAATGAGACATTCCTTTTCCCTGGATGCTAGTCTTTTCACTTACTTTTGTTACAGAGGAAAGTTTAAACCTTTCTGATAAATTTATTTCACCAAACTGATTGGCTATTTCTTCTTTATTTAGTTCACCTAATGTTAAAGTTGGAAGTTTGAGTTCAGATTTGCTGGGCATCTGATGGGTAGCTAATGAAATGTCTAAATGGAACTTCATGAGTTCAGTTGGTTTTATAGAAGACATTCTACTCTCATAGTCTGCAGTCATTTTTATAGGTAATTTATGTAACCCTCTGTTTCCTTCTGTTGTTCCCCTATATCATTAAGGACAGAGTCCTCGATCTTATTCAGTTTTTTGTTATTATCTGTCAGTACAATATCAACAGCCTTTTTCAGTTCATCTGCTCTCTTCTTCATGGAAACTCTTATCTTGGCAATTTCACTCTTGATTTCATTATTTCTCATTGATTCAATGTTATCTTTAGCCTTAGGAATGACTGTTTTCCAGGTCTCAGTTATTTCCAAATGACATTGCTGTAAAATGTCATTGTAGATGGTTTCAAGGTCACTTTTATCATGATCACTGTGAAACAGGGCAAAGCATGTAGAACAAAGAGGATCCTGGCAATCATCACAGAAGACATTAAATTCTTCTGTGGGATGGATCTTGCATTTTTCTGAAATAAGTTTTCTTTTTCTCTCTTGATAGAGGACAATTTCATGTTCTTTGTTCTGCTCTAGATGTTTACATTGCTCACAGATTCGCTGATGACAGGTATAACAATAAAAGGCAGAAAAGTTCGTACAGGATAACGTGTCACAGTCAATAAAGTGCTGGGCTGTATCTGGTACCTGGTCCATTATTGTTGTTCAAATCATCTAAATATATTTAATATCAGAGTGTACGTAATGCAATTGTAAATTATTATAGCTTACAATTTTCCTATTACATATGAAAGAGGATAGTTATTTACCTTCTTAAGTAAACCTTCTATGAGACTGTGATCTGGTAAATGAATCTCTTTCACAAAACCAACGCTCCTGATACATGTCAGTCTGTGATAATTTATTTGTATATAAGTAGACTGCAACATACTACCTACTTCAAACAAAAATATTTATATCTCCATGCATTCTTTGTAAGGGTGAAGAAGTCAAAGAGATAAAATGGGACTAGAATTAACACCGTGCAGTGTTAAGAGTACCACAGGGGATCATAATAAAATAAACTGTATGGTTCTTGTTTACTAAGAAATGATAAAAAACCTTTTTTAAGAATACAAAAATGTTAAATAATCATCATATCTCTGGATTTAACTCAAGCACATGCATTATATTATTAAACTAAAGGAATTCATGAAGTTCAGTAAAGATATACTATAAAGAATCGTCATTATTATATCAGCCGTAGTTATTTTTGTTCTGTGTGACGTCATATGGATTTTCGGAAGCTACATTAGCACGCCATCGTCTTCGATGATTGGATCAGAGAGACTAGGCAGATTCGGCAATAGACTGAGGGATGGTTTGAAATACAGTAAAACTCGTTTAGTACGAATACGGATATAGCGAATTTACAGATATAGCGAACAGATTTTGAGTCCCGCTGAGGTTATATATAGTGAAATTTACATTTTTATAACGATCTTTCAAATATAATTAAAAAAAATGATAAATTAAACTTGCTTTATTTCCTTTTAGCATTTGTATATAAAATGTGATATAAACAGCCGAATAGATTTCTGAATATGTTTATTTTGTGTAACTGTGATCATTATCGATATTGTTTGTTTTTATTCATTAAAATTTGCTTTAGCTTAAATTAATTTTGTGTTGTTGTAAGTGTGTCACAGCGAGCTATCAATATAGATTTGTGTATTCGGCCCACGTTACAACTTTTTTCAATAGAATATAAGTTGGTTAACCATTAAATTCATTGTAAAATATATTGTTTTTATAACAGTTGAATTGAGGTCCACACTTTTCAGAGATATTGATGTCTCATAAAGAACATTTATAATGAATTCTTCTTTAAAATCGTCTACTAATAATAACTGCAGTACTATAAGCCGATAAAAGTATAATTGAAAGACAAAATATATTATATTAATTTTTTCAGGAAGCTCTCAGTAACACTTGGTTTGAGATTCTTTGTCATTTATTTTCAACAATTTGGAACCAACACGTCAATTATGTCTACACCAATACATGGCAATTGGCACTTACATATACTGTACAGAGTTGTTTTTACAAATGAATGACTTAATTTTGTTTGTTGTTTTATCTTCTGATTTTTATTAAGATTTACTTAAAAAAATTAATCCGATTTCATGTACCAAAGGCTTGTAGAACGACGTCCTTGTTCGAAAAAAAAAAACAGTTCATAATTTTAAAAAAGTAACGAAGAGAGTGAAGACAACAGGGATAAAGAAAAGACTTGTAGTTGTGATGCAGCTGAGTGTCATTAATTATTAAAACTTTGTACATAAAGTGTTTCAAACATATTTTATATCCGGTCACGACGGCTAAGTGATCTTAAATTAAGCCGTTTGTCAAGCCGTTAGTATCAAACTAAGACGTATACATCATTTGTATTGACACTACACAAACAAAGTCCCGACACTTCAATGAAATTCACGAATCTTTCGGCAAACATCCATCTCCAAAACATCAGAAGTTGGATCAGGTGCCATGAAGGTGTGAGCGTTGCCGACCGAATACTCGCGCTCTGTGCTCCTTGTTATGATCGGAAAATAAGGAAAAATCCGTTGTCAATTTTATATATAAAATACATTGTCACTGTCTTTAAAATACATGTATCAGCGATATTTCGGCGAGGGTGATAAAACGTGATATCTAGGGCGAGGCGTACGTTATCGAACCGATCCCAAATATCGCTTTTTATACCCCCGCTTGAAAAGCGGGAGAGTATATAGTAATCGTTAATTCCGTCCGTCCGTCCGTCTGTTACGCTTTTGGGTACCCATCTCTTATCCGCAACTCCTCTTAAACCACTGAATGAAATTTGATGAAACTTTCACAGAATCTTTAATATTTATATTATTTATTT